ATGATATTGGTGGGGACCCTGGGGGCCCTCATAGCAGATGCGTTCCCTCGGGTCACCCCAAAGAAGAGCTGCAGCCTCTCCAAGTACCAGTTCCCTGCACCTTCGGAGTTGAAGGCAGTGCAGAGGATGAAGGAGCAGTTTGTGAGTATCTAGGGCAGTGAGCCCTGGACTGGGGGGCATCGGCTGGAGGGGAGTGAGGCAGAGAGGCAGCTGAATTTCAGGCCCTGAGCAGCAAAATGGATGTTTTCTGGGGTGTTCCTGTGTGGGGACAAGCTGGATGTGTTGCAGGCAGTTTGGGGACAGCAGTCCCTAGCACAGTGAGCAGCAGCACTTACCCGCCCTTGGATGATGCTTGCATCCTGCCCATACCGATAGGGTATGGCTATGATGAATTTTGTGCTGGTTTCACATTTCTGCGGGGGAGAAGCGGGTTGTGCAACAAAGACCAAAATCCAAGAGCAGCTTTTCAATCTGTCCCCATTCTCTCATGTTTCACCTCCAGGAAGACATCATGCTATTAACAAACCGAAAATGCAACACCAGACTCTTCCATCGGAAGTGGAACACAGCTGAGCTGTCGGTAAGGACGATGCTATGGAAGGGGAACCCCTCCTCCAGGCAGGACCCCCTTCTTCTGCACCCTGAGGCAGCTTCCGATCTGTAACCACGATGTTCTCGCCTGCAGGTACCTGACCGGATCGCCCTGGTGAAGGCTGAGCTGGACCTCACCATCACCATGCTCACAAACCCCACAACGCAGAGGATGGCTGATACGTGTCAACAGCCCCTGGCTTTCCTTACCCAAGTCCGGCAGGACCTGCGAGACTGCGTGAGTGTCCCCCCAGCCCTGCAGCTCCAGCTCAGTGGAGTCAGTGTTGGTGGCAGCACCATGGGCATCACTGGTGCTTACAATCACTCTCCTTGCAGTTGGCCCTCGAAGCGCCTTCACATCAGCCCTCTGGGAAACTGAGGCACTGGCTGCAGAAGCTGGAGACAGCCAAGAAGAAGGTAAGTCAGGATGCTGGGCAGGACAGCTGGTGTGGTTCCAGGGCCTCCTTAGCAGACAGCTCTAAAAAAAAAGAAAAAAAGCTCTAAATTCCACTTCAGAGTATGCAAATCAAGGGCAAGCTAGAGCCTTTTTTGCATCCCTCCATTAAGAAGCATCCAAAAAGGCATTCCTCAGCACCTCCAATCATGGCTAGAGTTTTGACCGCTCGTATAAAGCAACTTGACTTCCCAACCCCAAGCAACGCAGGGAAGCCCTTGCAACCTGCAGCGCTCAGCAGCGAGAGGCCAAGGAGCCATGATACCCCCAGCTCCTGTTTGTGCTCCATCCCCGGTGCTCACCTCCCCTGCTCCCATTTCAGGAGACCGCCGGCTGCCTGGAGGCCTCGGCCATCCTCCACATCTTCCAAATCCTGAACGACCTGCGGTGCGCAGCCCAGCGCGAGGACTGCACTTAGCCCTGCCGCCCCTGAGCACTGGGTGCTCTCACGCTGCTTTATGGAACTGCTTGGCTGTATTTTCCTATTTGTCTCATTGATGTGAGCTTAGGGAGCAATTTTGTAACAGTCTTTTAAATTATTGTGGGTTTTGTGGGGGTTTTTTGTACCATGTATTTATAAGTATTTAAGATGTAAAGAAATGCGCTTCTTGAAAGGTACTGCTCAGTGAGGATGAGCATCTTTGTATCTTTGTTTTGCTGGTTTTCAAAACACTGTTTTTAAGAGATCTATTTTCTGTACTCGCTATTTATTACACACCGTGTTACATATATTTACTTGTATAGATAATTTATTTTTACATGCTATTTAACATGAAAAAGAAAATAAATACGTTAAACTGACAAGCTGCCGTCATGTTTTCACAATGTCTTGCTGTAGTATCATCCCTTCAGAATCGTTTGGGGATGATACCAATATGGCTGTTGGGCATTTGAAGTTCATTTGAAGTTCATTCATGAAGGCATTTGAAGAACCTCACCCCTGTGCTGATGCCACCTGAAGCTGCACCCTGACACCTTTCCTGGGGCTCACTTTTGGGATGAATGGATGCTGTGGTGGCTGGGGATGTCCTAGCCTGTTGGTCCAGGATGGGTAGCACCAAATATAGGATGTCTGAAGCCTAAAGCATCCCAGTCCTGCGTGGGAAAGGCTCCAGGCTTGGCCATCCCAGAAGCTCTCAGAAGAACCCTGTGTGATTTAATTATCAACCACAAGGATAGGAAAAGGAGTGCTGGGGAAGGAGGGCACCCTGCAGGGAGAGGAGAAAAAGGATGGATGAGCAGTGCTGAACATCATTCAGTTTGGGCCCAGATGCTTCTTTGGAGACTGGTCACCAGAGGAAGGGAGCTGGTGAAGCTGTGAAGGTCACACACGGTGTCACCAGGGGCAAGAAGTCTCCCCAATTACAGCAAGGGGATCCAAAACATGCAGATGAGATTTTCTGTTTCTTAAGAAAGTCAACAGTTGAGTTCCATCACTGGATCACCTTATAAACTTCTTCTGCCCCCAACTCTTCCATCAGAACCCAGGTTCACATCACCCACAGACTGTGCACTGCTGGTGGTGCAAAAACCAATACTTCCTCCAGTAATCTGCAGCTTGGGAGCTGATCTGTAGCACTGCACTGAGCAGAAGAGATCTCACAGGTGCTGGCTGCCAGGGCTTGACATAGCCTACAGAATTATGCACAACTGTAAGCAATTTGCTGATTCATCTGAGGCTGTCACAAGAAAGGGTGATTTAAAAGGCTGCTGTGGCAGAAGAGGTTCTGCCAGAAGGTGGGTTTCTGTTGGAATTAAAACATAACAATAGTAATGTGTAGGGCTGTACTGACTTTTAGGGTATTTGTCGTGGAAAATAGCCAAAATGAAACAGAAACTTGAAACTTTTGTGTTTTTTCTTTTCCTGAAGACACAAGGCCTTCAAGTCAGATGAAACCCAAGGAGCATCCAGCCAAACTCCAGTCGGGGCAAGCTGTGCAGGGACACACCTGGGTGAGTCCTGGATGGTTCCAGGAAGAGAGATTTCACAACATGGGTAAGGCTTTCTGTTGGGTGATTTTGTGAAGCAGCTCTGTGCCAGAGCCAGCTGCAGAGTGATGGAACACACGGAGAGGGCAGAGGATGACAAACAGGGGCTGTGAATGTTCATCACTGCTAAATCCCTGTTTTTTAATGTACTAGATACCAGTGCTCTTGATATTGTAATTTCTCCCCCCATTCAATGCTGTTCATAATTCACACTAATTCCCGTATATATTATACTGGGAGCTGTCAGGAATCATTCTGTGATGTTAATGTCTTGCTCTCGGAGGAGGTGGTGTTCAGTGAGATCTGACTGCTTTTCATTTGCTTTGATTAAAAGGTTTTTTTGACAAATAACCTTCACTTCTATCTGCAGGTGACTTCTGCATGTGTGTGAGTGGTTGGTGGATTACTCATTCTCATGCAAAGCCTCAATTTTTTTGGACTAGAAGGACAGGCTGAAGGACAGATAGCTGCTGAAGGCTCTTGGGACTCCAGGCTGCCATGTGAATTAGCGATGATTTTCTTCTTGTTTCCTTTGGACTCCAGAAGCCTTACTGAGGGTGTTACCTCTGTAGTCACAACCCAACCCTGTTTATCTGCTCATGGACAAGTCCCCCCCAGCAGCCCACATCCCCTCATTCTCTTTCCCCACTCCCACAGAGGTTGGTTGCAGAAGAGGCTGGGAATGCTGCTTCTTTCTAATTTGCTTTCTGTCTTCTTTTCAGAATGGAGGCTTCGTTATTGCCCTGAGACAGCCAAGAAAGGGCAGCTGACATGTGGTACACCATGCACTGTCACTCCTTTACTCAGATAAATGTCCCAATATCTTCAGCCCCAGAATCCATAGACTGGAGAGGTAAATGTAATAACCTTCGAGAAGGAAATAAGGAAATTTAGAAGGTAGGTTCACAGAACAGAAGGCTGTGTCTTATGCCAAGCTTAGAGGAAATGGAAAACGATCTATCAGGAAAACATAATAGCAGAATATTTTGGTGCAGGCATTTAAAGGCTCAGGTTTTAAGAAATGGCCTCTTGCATCCAGAGTATGACTGTGTGCCATCAAGAGCAATAAGGAATTCCAGCTGTGTTTCTGGAAAGCTCTGAGAAAAGGTTCTGACCTTTGTAGGTTAAAAAAAAAAAAATAATAAAAATAATAATAAAAAAAAATAGTAAATTGGAGCCCTATTAATGGTATGGAAAAGATGAAGAAAAGCTCAGATCTGCTTCTTAAGTATTTTTCCATGCTGTTTCTTGTTTGTACTTTAGTCTGTGATCTCTTGTCTGGAAGGATGCATCCGAGTTGATGTGGTGCTGCTTCAAGTATTGTCTTAGCAAGGGATTGCTTTATACAGCAGAACAGAGGTCCACAAGGCATCAGAGGGAAGGAACTTTTGGTTTGTGCCAATTCTACAGGCAGGCCAATCCTGCCAATAAGAAAACAGGAGGAAAAAGGGTGCTGGGTTAATCATGTTGGATTAAATAGATTTAATCAAGCTAAACCCCAGTGCTGATTCATTTTTCAGAAAGGAAGCAGTTGTGTTCCCGTGAATGTTCAGGAACTGGTATTTAGTTGCTACCTGCCAAACTTTGTGTCTGGTCTGCACGTTTGCTTTATAAAACCTTCTAACCACTAACTGCTTAGTTTTGGTTCCCCTTTTCATTGCATGCAATGGGATGGAAAAACTCCAGTTAGATATGATGGCGTCGGTATTTGAAGCGGCATATCCCAGTCATTTCCTGTCCATTACTGAACGTAACCTCGTGATTTCACACAGATTTCACTTTCCACTAACTTGGCGCGGGAACGGGTTACAAGACTAAGGGCACAGCTCCCAAAATGGCGCCTGCCGAGCCCAACTCCAACTCTCGCGAGACGACGGCGGGAGCAGGCAGAACCCTCGTAACCGGTGGAGGGGAGGGGGCGCCTACAAGCCCCGCCCACGTCCTCGCCCACTTCCGGCGCGGCGGGCGGGCGGCAGAGGGAGGAGGAGCCGCACCGCCGCCCCTGCCCCGGGCCAGCCCCGGGATGGTGTTGGCCGCGGGAGCCGGGCCCTGACGCCGTGCTCAGGTAGGTGCGAGCCGCCCCTTACGCTTCTAGATCTGGATTCGGACCCGTCCGCGTCTCCCCGTGCGGTACCAGCCTGCTAGGCCTCGGAGCACCGGCTGGGTCTGCCTGCCCCCGGCTGAGGGGCGAGACGCCCGGCGGTGCGGGCCTGCAGGGGGCTCGTGCAGCCCCTGCGTGCTGCGGAACTCCCCCCCCC